CTAGGGTTGTCTTGAGTCACAAGAATCAAATGGGATGAATTTTACCTCAGATGAAATTAATCTGAAAGTTTTCATGTGAATGTCATTATTTTATCACCCTCCCACATTCCTCTTCATTGTACTTTTCTTTTTCTCTTTTGCCCTCTGTCATGTAATCTCCCCTTCTTTCCTCTGATAAGTAAGGAATGCCTAGACACAATGGTGCATAAAGTGACTTTTTTTTTTACAAAAGGATGAAAAGCTCTTAATATTTGAAAAACTTGGAGAAATTGATGTATAACAAAATTTGTATGTTCGATGTCATTTTTTTATTACACATCCCAAATATTTTATATTTTTTGAGCGTGACTATGTAGTTAACCTGAGAATTAAATTTTAATGATGAATTTGGAGAGATTAATAGCATGGTAGTGAAGATAAGTTAAAAAAAAGAAATAGTAGAATACCTCATTGTGGATAAGGACAGCTAGGTGAAGCAGAGAATAGAATACTGGGCCGGGAGACAGGAAGACACATCTACTTGAGTTCAAATTTTGCCTCAGACACTTACTAGCTGTGTGACCCTGGGCAAGTCACTTAACCTTATTTGCCTCAAATTTCTCATCTGTAAAATGAGATGAAGAAGGAAATGGTAAATACCTCCAGTATCTTTGCCAAGAAAACCCTAATATGATCATGAAGAGTCAGAAATGACTTCACCACCACAAAAGCAAAGAAGTGGATAAAGAATGATTCAGTGCATCCTTTTCAATGGTAAGTGATGGAAACAGGAGACAGACTCAGTCACAGAACTAGTGTTGAATGAACAGTGTTGGGCCTGACCTAGAGTGGGAATTGGTGGAAAATTAGTGGGCAAAGGGGATTTGAATGAGGAAGTATTAGATTTTTTCATGCCTAGGTCATGTCCCTGGCTGGATATATGTGCTCCTTTCATACCGTGTCTTGACTGTTCAACTATGTTAGAAAAGTGAACACAATTTCCTTGCCTCCATAAAACCCAGAGACTGACTTCAGCAAGTTTCCTGAGGTTGGAAACTTCCAGTGATCCTCTTCATATCTTTTGTCTAAATCACTCTTAACAAACCCTCTGGTATTGCACCATGAATTTCCCTGGCACATTTATGTGACATATAGACCATCTTGTCTTTAGAAACACCCCTGCTTCAAGGCAAACTGAGTGCATTTTGTTCTGTTTCAACTCTTTTGCTATAAATGATAACTTTTGACTTAAATATCAATTGCAGTACCTACTGTCTTACAGTACCTCCCTTTTGCCTCTTATGAGTACAAAGACTTTGCTGCTGAAGATGGAGAATTCTAGTATTCTGGTAAACTTCTCCCTGTCTGGACCAGTGGGAAGATTTCTTTGATTTTGAGACCAGCTATACTCAGTTGATAACTTCCTTATCTATCCCCTATAACTAAGAACATACATACACACATAAACATATGTGGGTATACATGTATGTATGTATATATGTGTACATATTTTTCCTCCAAGTATATAATCCTTTCTGTATAAACATCTGTTTTAGGAATAAGCACCTTGTTTTCCTTTGTTTGACATAATAATGCTTTAATAAGGTTTAGCTCATGAATGCTTCCCAAAAAATCTGCATGTAATAACATTCTTATATCAGGATCAGTAGATGCCAACCATCCTGGTGTTTTTTTTTTTTCCTGGCCATAATAAATGTTTATTTGCTTTCTGCTTAATTGGCTTCTTACTATTATTATCTGACTTCAAAATCAAGAACCCAGATTAGTGAGTAACAAACCCTTGGGGTCTCACCTAAAATTTCTCTACAGCTACATACTAAAATTTCTTACACTAACTAGTGATCTTATATGTGAATGACACACCAAGGAAACAACAACATGTATGTCTATCTCCATGGTTATTCACCAACACTGATGAATAACCCAATTATATGTTTAATGACTCAAAAGTGAAATTTCTATATAGAAAAGACATTATTTTATTCAGATTTTAATGGACAGATTGTCCATGTATACTTCACACAAAGTACATGAAATCATAGACATTCAGTGTTGGATGGGATCTTAGAGGGTATCCAAGCTAACTCTCTCTTACCAAGAATGGTAGGTTGTGTTATAAATTCCATGAATATAATTTCTTATCTCTCATAAAAGATGTTCAATTGATGTATGGAAATAATTTTATTGTATACAAAGGTCACTGGACTGACAACATCTTTAGGATATGTTCTTTGAATCGTATTCTGTGGAGTAGAAATACTTTGTACTTAGCCACTTGTATTCTCAGACCGACCATTTGACCTTTGACAGCTAGGAGTTTTGAAATGGATGATTGCAGGATAGTGTTAAATTTGTGGACCAAAAATATAGCAAAAATGATTGGTTTCAATAGTGACAAAAGTCATAACCTTGGAGTAAATTCTCTCTTGCTTTATTAAATTGAGTTAACTAACTATTAGCATGGAACTTTAGATATGAAAATACTCCATTGCAATTATTATCTTATGTTTAGATAGCTTTGGAATGGGGGTGGGATGGAACACAAATGCTAAAAAGAGTTATTAAATTATACCAAGTTGTTTTTTTTTTTTACTGTATCACATTTTGGAATTAAAATTTTTTCACTCTTAGATAGGGGAAAAATAGAAGGGAACTTAAGAGGAAGCCTGAAAGGAACACATTGATCTTTCATTTGGAATGGATAATTTAGAGACAGCATCTCCCTGGCATCTGATATTAATTGAGAGACAGTGCAGTGCAGTGGAAAGAGTGATTGGTTTTCCTTCCAAAGACATGGGTTGGGATTCTAGCCCCAATATTAGTAGCTCTTTACCTGTCATTATTTCAGTTAAGTTATCTGAGATTCTGTTGCCTTATTGGTAAAGTGCAGATGATAATATAATCTCATGTTTCTTAATGAGGAAAAATACAGTTGGAAATATCAAAGTATTATGGAGTTGCTGTGTTATGGTGTGTCCCCTGATTCATATTCTATATTAAGTGAGAGTTAGCTCAATGAAATCCTAATTTGACTAAGGATGGCATCTCCCTTGTAACAAACCACCTATCTAATCTGTCTTACAAAAGACAAATCAATTTAAAAAGTTACAAAGTGGGATCACTTTTTAACAGAAAGTATGTGTGGAATATACAGGAGGGGAGATGGGATAAGAAAGAGTAAAGTTATTTTGAATGGTAATTCACATAGATATTCACACCCATCAACATTCTATTCCACCAAGATTATGATCTTTAGGAAGAACCAATCATGTCCCTGCCTCACTTTGTTCCCTGCTTTGTGTACCTTCAAAAAAGACTCATAGCAATTAGATGAGATAATTTCTCAAATAGCAAATTTCAAATTTCTTTAATTCTTCATTTTATCACATAAACACACACACTCACAAATTATGAATAATACATACATATCTGTATACAAACTTGCATATATGTATTTTTATATTGTGTATCTCAATATATTTATACATAACTCTCATCCATATGTGTATACATGTATATATGCATGTAATACATATATAATTAACATGTCAATATACATATGCACATATAAACTGCTCATATGTTTACTTACAAAATTTATGCATACATATGCATACATGTATGCATTAATTATTTTCATTTTTAATCCTACATTTAATGCCATCTAATTTCTCACAATATGAACACATACACATTTGTGTATACTATACATGAATGTATACACACAGTTGTGTGATATAATACACCTGAATATATGTTTGACATCCATGTATACGTATATTTATGCATGTGTGTAAGCAAGCATACATACATATTTGAGTCACAAGGTCCCTAGATGCAAACAAACAAGATTTGGAATCAATCTTTTGATTCCAAAAATCTCATTTTGAATCAGTAATCTCATTTCAGATCTCATCATTCCACTAAAACTGCTCTCCCCATGTTACTAATGATCTCTTAGTTGACAAATGTAATGATCTTTATTCAATCCTCATTCTCTTTGAATATATAATTATTAATAATTATATAATTAATAATCATCTGAAAGAGATGATGGGACAGATGGAATGCATGCCTCTAACTTATGTTCATTTGGTTTAACAGTTCTAAGGTAGATTTTGGATGTTTCAGATAAATAATATAATCATATAGGGCTATAATGAAGCTTTCAAGTTTGCAAAACCCTCTCCATATAATAAGTCATTAGCAAATCAAAACACAGAAATGTAGTGGATACTAAGCAAGCCACTTGGTGATGAAGACCTGGGTAGAAGTTCTATCTTTGTCACATACTTGGCTGTGTGACTCTTGAAAATTTCTCTCTGATCTGAATTGGTAGAGGGCATAATTCCTTACCAAGATCTTCTTACATGTATGAAATCACACATCTGGCCAAATTAACAATAGTTCTATAATATAGAAAATAAAGCCACAGTTATCTTGTAACATATAACATGGCAAAGAGTGATAAGTTGATATATGAGATAATGATGAATGCAGAACCTTTTGTCCTTTTAAATTGGTCATCATTATATAGATAACCAACTGAGGTAAAAATATTATCTGTTATTCATATTTTTCTTTTCCCAAAGTCTCAACTACTTATATCCTTTCATATATATAAACTAATATAATAACATATATATGCAAATGTACATATGTTCATGTGTTTATATGTGAGTATATATAAGTGTGTGTATATATGTATGTATATATGTACATGCACACATTATTTTGAAAATTTCACTTTATAATGAATATTTGACATAAAGACAATTATCAGAAATGATTTAGAATAGATTCCTGTTTAGGTATAGATTGGAACAGGTGAAATCTGAAGTTCCTTTCATATGTTGAGATTCAGCGTTTGTGTATTGACATGTTAATGCTGTCACTTCCAGCTCAAATGGCTTACCATACATTTAATGAATTGAATTGTGCATTCAGATCCCCAAACTCCCACTATAGGGTTCAATTCATTGAGATGTTAGCAACCAATATTAAGAACATATTTTATTTTTCAGTTTTCCCAGGGCCCCTTTCACATCTTTGTTTCTCAAACTGTAGATCAAGGGGTTTAACATGGGAATGACAAGAGTATAAAACACGGAGGTCATTTTGTCTTGCTCTAGTGAATAGGCAGAACTAGGCCTGAAGTACATAAAAAGCATTGTACCCTGCAAGATTGTGACAGCAGTTAAGTGAGAAATACACGTTGAAAATGTTTTGTATCTGCCCTCAGTGGAGTGGATCTTCAACACAGACAAGATTATGTAACAATAAGAAATGAGAACCACTGAAATGGTGACCATTTCAATAAAGCCAAAGACAGTGAAGATCACCAGCTCATTGACATGGGTATCAGAACAAGAGATTAATAAAAGAGGAGGAACATCACAGAAGAAATGATTAATCTCATTGGACCTGCAGAAACTCAGAGTGAAGGTGAAAGTAGTATGGATCAGAGCATCCACCACCCCCACCATGTAGACACCTGCCATCAATAAGTAGCAGACCTGGCTAGACATATTTACTGTATAAAGCAAAGGGTTACTTATTGCCATGTAGCGATCAAAGGCCATTAC